AGCAATTTACCGCTGCCCTCAGCTGGCCCCACCTCGCCCAGGAGAGCATCCTACACTGGCCACAGGGACAGAAGAGAACGTGGAAACCAAGAGGAACTCACTGAGACAGGCATCCTGGATGCAGCTCTACCCCTCAGACCGAGCAGGGCTCTGCCAGCCCATGGTTATTCTCCTGAGGGGAAGGGGTTGTGAGGAAAAGGAAGGCAGCCTCTACGCCATCTCTGTCATTAGTGCTGCTTCCACACGGCACCTGGTCACAGACTGGGTCAGTGGAATACTGGAGAGAAACTAGTCTCCTTGGCTGTTCAGTTTCCTCACCCTCAGTATTTCTTGATTATAGGGCCCACCTCATTTAGTGTCTTGTGATGCCCATATTCTCCTTTTAGTTGCAGAGGATGAGGAGGGCAGCTTGCCAAAATATGTAAAAAAAAATCAACATAATGAAATGGTCAGAGAATTCTAGGATAGCTGTTCAATTCACAGATTTTATATCAGAAGCAAAATCCATTTATCCTGGGCTTCAGCCACATGGTTCAGCCCTGAGATAAACACTCAGAAGTAGGAAACGCAAGACTCTGGGAGGAACACAGAGGTGCTCCACATTTCAAGACTGGACTGTAAGAATTCCAGGTTCCAGTCTAGTTCTTTGTCTTTGGTGTCCATTTTCAGCTGGAGGCAGAACTCAAGCCAGGCTGGATAGTGAGCAGAGGGGACCCAGAACCTGCATTTAATGTCTAAGTTTCCTTTGGGTTTCTAGTACCTGTGGGTACCATGAGCCACATAGCATTTACAGGGAAAAATATCTTTTTCTACTGACAACCCATAGTCTACTGAATCAACCCAGGTCACATGACCTTCTCAAACATGCCCAGAAGCCACAGTAGCCCTCTCTGTTCCAGAATTTAGGAATAGAGTATGCTAGCCTTTGAGAAGTTCCTAGTGGCTGAAATAGCTTCTGCCTTAAGAGAAAGAGCCTCAGAGATCTCTACCACCTGCCGGGAGACATTGTGCTGTACTTTGCTGCCATGCTAGCTTTTGTTTATGTCTCAAATCTCTCTGCAGGTATGGCTATACACAGAGGCAAGGATCTGTTGGGACTCCTGGAAAATCCAGGGGAAGGGGCTGCCATCTGAGATTTAAACAAATAAGCCCAGAGTATGAGCAATATAAGAGATCCAAAATTTTGTGGAAGCAGAACAAGAACAGGAAATGATGAGGAGTTGTGGGAGTCTTGGTATATGGAGGAGGTAGGGTCATTTCATGGAACATGGGAGAGCAAGGACCAGATGGGTGCTCTCAGGGTCAATCAAGCAGCACGATGAAGGTATATTTTTGGTTCCATTTCATGTTCAGGATGGGCTCCCTGCAGGAGGCAAGTTACCTCTGTGTGCTAGAGGAGAGACTAAAACCCAGTGAGAAGAATACGGGGAAGGCTTGCCTCCCAGGATCTCTGCTTGTCCATGGATCCAAATGAACCCCCAGAATGACCCACAAGTCTCAGGCACAGTGGAGTGAGTGCGGGCTGGCAGCTGGCTGGGGCCTATTTTCTGGCCAGGAATAGCAAGTTACCATTACCAGCACGGGTGTGGTTTTCTGTGGTTTCCCTGTAGCTAAGGATATCCTGTGCTGGGCTGCTCCGGCCTGTGTGCAGGGCCTGCATTCCAGGCTCTGGCCGCTGCTGGTTTTCTGGAGGTGGCAGATTTACAACAGCTGTCATGGCTGAGGGCTCCCCATCCTTGTGGCTTCTGTCCTGTGACAAACCTCATGCCACCCCTGGGATTTCCTCCCAGGAATTTCTGGAAGGTAGGTTTGCCCAGCCTGGGATGTCTTGTAACAGTGCCCTCCTTTCCCCAGTCTCCTTCTTTCCTTTTCTAAGAGGGCAATTTGCTTCTTGTTTAGGGTTAAGACCAGCTTGCTAGTGACAGACATTGTAGCTTCATAGTTTCTTCAGACAAGTGTCAGGCTGTTACTTTCTCTCTTTATATACAGGACAAGAGAATTCTAGTCTCAGGAAGTGTCGAACTCTGCTATTGTGTGTGTGTGTGTGTGTGTGTGTGTGTGTATTCATGTGTGTATATGTGTGTAGAGGCCAGAGGGCAAAGCTAGATGTCTTTCTCAATTGCTGGCTATTTTATTTTTTAAGATAAGGTCTATCACTGAACCTGGAACCTTCCAGTTTGGCCAGACTGGCTGGCCAGTGAGCCCCGGAGATCTTCCTGTCTCTGCCTTCTCAATGCTGGGATTATAAGTCTACATAGCCGCTCCTGGCTTTTTCTGTGGCTGATGGGGTCTGGCACAGGTTTTCACATTGTACAATAGGTGCTTTACCTACTTACAAGTCTGTGCAGTGAGCATTCTTCCCGGCCCCAATTTCAAGTCCATTTAGAATATTTAGGAGTGATGTTCGGAGAGGAGAAAAGAATTTCCTAAAGAGACCTAGCCTGCTGGTGTGAGGACCCAGGTTTTGCCTTCAGATATTACTTTCTCTTTCATCCCGCTACTGTGTTCACAGTATGCGGAGCTAAGGCAGGTGTAGGCGAGCATTAAACGTGGGAGTCGTGGGCAGCACACAGCAGGCTGCTAGCTCCTCAAAGCCGAAGCACATCATGTAAGGGTAACAGAGGGAACCTCGGATTCTCACATTTGCCACACTGTTGCCTCCTGCCTAACCCCTGGCAAGTCACTCTGACTTCTCGGATCTCAGTAACTTACTACAAATGGGAATGTTAGTGGGAATATGCCCCATCCCTCCAAGCCTGTACTGCTAGCTCTTGGGGCTGGTACTCAGACCAACCCAAAGGAAGTAGGGAAAGGGGTGGGTGGGGTATTGTCAGCATTGACAAATAGAATCTGCTTGTAGAAACACTGAATCAGAAGCTACTTTTTTTTATAGTTGTTAGTTTTTGTTCTGATATTCTGAGTCATGAGCCAGGTAAGGAGGGAACCCATAAATGGTCCAATCCATGGTCCCCCAAATTTGGGACTTCATGAACTAAAAACATTTCTCCCTCAAATGAAAAGCTGGGGAGCAACATGGAGAAGAGAGATTTTATTTTGCTTCTTATGGTCATTAAAATAAGACAAGTGACAGAGTAAACAATCTAGCATCTTTCTATGTTAATTGCTTACCATGAAGGGAGGGGTATTTTCACCAAAACAGAGGAGGGTGGGCGTGCCTAGAAAGAGTGTTTACACCTTAAGTGTAACTGACTAGTTGGCAAGAGGACAAGTTTGCTCTTTATTTCCTATTCATGTGATCTGGTGCTAACTATAAGCCGCTAGTTAGAGTGGACTTTTGTACTTGGAAACCTATGACTGGAGTGTCCACCAACAGGAAAGCATAGCTCTTCCCTGTGGCTGGGGTCCTGATGCCTTGATTAGGACTTTGTCACTGACACTATGTCCATGGAACGTGGCTACTGCCCCTCATCAAATGAAAACTTCCAGTTTGACTGAGAAATATCTAAGTGGAGGTGGTGGTAGGCCAATGAAAGCACAGACTGGAGGAGTTACATCCAATCAATGCTGATTGTTCCTTGCAAGGCTCCATGGGAATATGTGCAACACGTTAGCAGGATGTCTAACTCCAAAACCTGTACTGCCTGTACCACAAGAGTCTGCCTTTCTGTCCTATAAATCCAACCACTGCTCAGCCTGTAAATAAGTAAGTTCTAGGGGGATGCAATCATGCCTGTAAAATTGTGTGTTGTTTGGCTGTCCTAATCATGGCAAACCGCAGGACTGATTTCAGCCAAGATGAGAAGGCCTGCAAAACCTGGAATACTTACCATCTGGATCTTTGTGGACAATATCTGTGACCTCTATACTTTACCTTGCTCCTTGATTGATTACATAACTGGTTATCTACATAGGCAGAGGAAATGAGACCACATTCTAGGGGCTAAGTGACTTTGGCCAATATTGAGACATTGTCCACCAAGGCAAGGTTATCTGTCTTCAAAGGTTCAGGAGGCCTGTCCATCCAGGGCTCCTTGCTCATTTTAAGTCTCCAGTAGGAGGTACTGAAGGGAAGAAACTACAAGGGCAATGAATGCTCTTGGTGTAAGGAACTGTATAACTTTCCCTGTGTCCCCTGGTCCCAAGGATGCCCAGCATCTCTACCCTGATGTCCCTGAAGGCCTACCTACCTATCCCATCTTCTTCCCTTTCCTCATTTAGTTCTGTGGTTAGCCAGCTGTGCTTGCTACCCAAGTTCTGAAAATTGTGGGTGGGACTTAAGTGAGGGTTGATGTTTTGAATGTAAAGACACTGAATCAGAGTCAAGGACATTTTTGTTTAGCCCATATGATATTGAGCAAAATACTTTGTCTCTTTCTAAGTCTGATTTTTTCCTTCTCTGAGCCTTGACAACATGAGTTAGATGATCTTGAGTTTAATCTTCAGTGTTAACTGAACTCTGCATAGGGACTAGTAGGGAAAACATGTTACTCAATACCTTCTGTGGCTGGTAATGTAGAGGGAATGAGCCTGTTTTCACAGGTCATCCGCTTCATTAGATATTTTGCCTATTTCCAGTTATTTGACTATTTCTATATGCCGGTTGTTACACCAAGAAGTTATGATTGGTTCTTCTAAAACCACAGTGAGGTAAGCACTGTGATTCCTGCTTAAGGGATGTGTAACTGAGACTTCCAGGTGGGAAGTGGAGTCATATTGAAATTTGTTTAATTTATGGTTTCCAGCTCTAAATACAAGGTTGCCTTGCGTCCCTGCCAGGGCCCGCAGCATGGCTACACTGATGGTGAGTGTTGTTAGTGAGAGTGTTACAGGCAGATGGGAGGTTTGTGTGGATGAGCACAGTGATCAGGAGCTACCCAGATGAGTCAGAGGCATCAGCTCAGCCCTATCAGCCCCCACCTCCATCTGCCCCACTGCTGTTGAGGACAGTCACGGCATTTCTGGTTGATCAGTAGGCACTACATCTTGTGCTATCAGCTGCATGATTCACTACACATTCATTCCTACATCTGAGATCTTACCTCCTCTAAGGGGAACCTTGTCAGCTGTTCTGGGAGTGGAGTCCTGGAAGAAAAGAGAGAAGAGCAGGGTCACCACTCACATCTCACCAATGGACAAGATGTGTCGTCCAGGGAGACACAGTGAGTTCACGGAACTCAGGACCACAGTTGGAACTTCCACCTCCCAGTCAAGAGCCAGCTTTCCTCCCCTTCACACGTGCTACTGGTTTTTCCCACTTAAGTCAACGTAAGATAAATGAAATGAATAAATGACGTACTTTTTTCTTTCCATATTTGGTTAATCTATAAGTGTTGTAAATGTACATGGAAGATACCTTTCCACCTCGATTGTTGTTGGAAATTGTGAATTAATTAGTGTGTATATTCCAAAGATTTGATGATACTGTAAAGAAACTGGTTCTTTGACCTCATGGATTTATTGCAAGTTTATACCCAGATATAATTAGCAACTGTTTATAAATATGTGGCACAAGCAGTGTATTTATCTACATTTATCTAAAATGTATTTTACATTTACATTATATTACATATGATGCTTTCTATAATAAACACAAATGTCTACATAGACTTTGATGTAAATGAGTAAGAGGTTGATGGAAACACTGTCTCCTGGAAGTTGCCACTGACTCCATCTGGATTTCTTAGTGTTCTGTGCAAGCTCTGATGACCATCTGGAGGTACCATTGTAATTTATATCCCCAAGAGCTCTATAATTCTCCTTCTGTGGACACATTATTAGCTGAGAAATAGGATTCTTCTCTAGCCCAAGGGGTGGAGCTCAGCCCAGGAGGCCTTAGGAATACAAGCCTTGGTGTCACACTAATCTGGACAGAGTCTATGCATGTGGCCTCAGCTTTTCAGGGGAAGGCATCCTTTGGAAGATCCTTTCCCCTCTGTTTTCTGATTGTATTGTTTTCTTCCCCTGAGAGTTCTTAATGTGGGTAATAATGCTTTACATCTGTGATTACATGATTACCCATGTGCTTCTTAGGAAAACCTGACATCACAAAATTCCCCTTTATGTTGCCTTGTGAGACAACAGCCAGTCCTTCAATATTTATTAAGCAGCTGACTTAATGCCAAGCATGATTTTCAATTGGCATGGAGCGCAAACACATGAACGAAGGTATTTCCATTTAGATGAAGCCTAATATGACTGAATGCACCATGTGCCCTGTATCCAACTAGATACCTAGAGTGAATAGTAAAAGAGGAAACACTAGCAGAGCCATTCCAGTGGCAGAAAATCATTCATTCAACTTTGGGTGACCTGTGGTGTACACTGTGTCACTCACTGCAAGATATGTTATGGACCTAGTTCACTAAAACCAGCTTTTTAAGAACTACTAATACATATGGAATCATAATGGTGAGTTGTGGCATGAGCTGTGAATGGACCAGAGTGCTTAAAGACAGAATTTCTGGAGCTTTACTGCTGAGGATCTTGATCTGTAAATTCCCATTCAGCAGGTTTGGGTAGAGCTTGGCTTGCCTTTATTTCTCACAAGCTCTCAGGTGATGCTGATGCTCCTGGTCTTCAGAACAGCTTTGAGCATCAAGAGTATAAGCCCTGTATCTGGGAGGAGGACCATTTGTATGGGATGGGGGTGCAGTCTTGGAAGGGAAGGCCTTGCTTTTGCCTGTTAACTGAGAGTTCTTTCTTTCCCTGTAGGGAGAGAGATGCTAAAAATATTGGCAGGGGGTCCTGTAGCTTCATCCTTTACCCAGGGGCTGGGGAATTCAGGACAGAAGTGTGACTGTTTCTATGTTGAAGAACACAGGGTCTCTACAGTTTCCTCTAGTTACCTATAGTAGATGTGATTCCAGAGCCAAAGTGAGAGACAAGCCCAAACATCTTTCAGACCAAGTTGATTTTGTAAGGAAGGATACCAAGATATTCTAGTCAAGGGCCAATTCTGGGCTAAAATTCTTAGGTAAACTTTCCACTGGCCAAGGATAGAGCAGTTCGTTGTTTCTCCTCCTCATTCTATAAGCAGCCCTTGCATTTGAGGATGGAGAAGCAAAGCCTAAGGAAATGATGACTACTTGCATTTACCAGACATGGTGATGACTGTTAAGATTTGTCAGAGATTGTTTAGACCCCAGGCACTATGCTGAGGTGCCATCTGTAAACTGTTTTAATAAACCGTGCCCAGGAATTTGAGACCTTGACTGGGGGAAATGAGAACTCTGTTGTTCAGTGACTTGGCTTTGAGTAAGGTAGGACACAGACTTGACCTAGATGCAAACAAATGGGTCCCCCGAGGCTGTCATCTCAGCTCCATAGAGTACCTCAGGAAAAACAATCACCATGGTTACCAAGCCCTGATACATTTCCACAACATACTTCCTCTTTTCTTTTAGCCTCCGTGGACATTGGGTTGGGCATTCCAACAATACTAGGGTTCTTTCTGTATGGTGGAAAGTATGATCATGCTTAGTCTGTTCCCAGGGGAAGTGACCCCCATCTCAATCATTAGCCTAGAACTGTTTTCTTCTCTCCTTTAATTACTGTGATTAGAGGGCCAATGATTTCTACTCTGGGCTGTTGGAGTCATACCAAGATGGAAATTATTAGCAATTGTTTGAAAACAGTAGCTATTCGAGAGGGACTGCTTTGAGCCTTATAATGTGTTTAATTTCTCATAATTCCCTGAAAGGTCTATTTGCTTTCAGAGCAATGATGTGGAGGGCATGGAACAAATCTGTGTAAGTGCCTTTGGTTCCCAAATTTACTTTTCAAACAAAATCCTCTGTTACTGAAAGTGATCAAAGGCAACTAAAGTGAGGAACATTCTAGAGATAATTCCATAGCCCCTTCCTTTCTGGCTTTCACTGTCTTCTAAGATGGTCTCTGGCTCACAGCACATGGAGATCTCTATTATCATTAAGCTAAGATGATCAAATATTTAATGTAGGTTACTCTGGGAGCCGAATCCTTTCAGGGCTTTATTGTATTGATCTTTACTGGATTCCAAGAATCAGGAATTGTCTGAGACACAGAGAAGTGACTTAAGGATTGCAAAAGACCTTAGAGATGAGAAACTTGGTCATACTGGCTGTGAAGGCCAATACTCTGCAACATTGTCTCTCTAGATAAAGGCAGACAAAACAGCAGCATGCTCTCCCAAAACCCAACGGGAGACTGAATGACAGTCATAGAAGACCCCCAGGGAAAGTATTTTTACTGGGAACTTGTGCTTTGGCAGGTCTGAGATTTAGACCACAATGGCTTAAACAGCATTTCTCACACTTGCAAGGTCTTACCATCCTGTGAAATATTCATGAAAATAGGGATTCTGATTCAGGGGGTCTGGGTAGTCTCTGAGGTGTCATGTAGTTCTAGCCAGTCTTCTATCTATGTCAGCATGTCTGGGCCATGGGATACTCTTTGAGCATCACTGGCTTCAGGACAGGACACAATAGGCAAATATGATACTTATGGTCTTGAAAGGTGGCTCCAGGGAGCTGTACTCAAATATGATATTAGGAAATCTGAAGGTGGAATTAGGACTTTGTCCTCTTGGCTTCATCTATCAATGTATTTTGTCTAGTCCCACTTCCTGCTTTGTCTTTGTCTGCTCTGGAGGATGACCATTGTTCACACTACAGTAACTCTCAGTCTCAATCCAGTTTGTCTTCCTCTGAACCATGCCTCAACTCATTGTCTGGCTTGCTGGGTTCCACCTCCACCTGCTTCCATCCTGCTAATGGAGAGCTCATCTTTATAGGACACAGCGAGTGAGTGGAACGAATGACAGCATCTAATAATCTTCCATCATCAGTCCTCAGGATGGTAAAAGATTAAGATGAGGATCATCAAGAAATGCCAGACTGCTGAGTGGAAGACATTCATGTCTTCAAAATGTTACCCCATACATTGGATTTTTACGAGGAAGAGTGTTTCACAAACCAGATTGTTGCTAGCTGTCCCCTTAATGAAGTGACTAAACATATAACCAAATATAACCAGACATATGTCCCTAGATATGCTATAATAATACCAAGCATGGATAAACCTCAGGCATTCCCAGAATGTAAATTGTTCTACTACAGAATCAGCATGTCTTTTGCAGAATAGTCTACATCACAAAACCAGTGCTTGAGGGTAGGTGTAATGATTAGCTCAGGGCTTCTCAAATTTTATTGATTTTACAGATGTTCTGCATTATTAAAATGCAGGTTTGACTCAGTAGCTCTGGGGTGGGGCTAGGAAGTCTTAATCTCTCTCTCTTTGTGTGTGTGTTCGTGTGTATTATGTGTGTGGGTATGTGTGTCTGTGCGTATTGATGGGTCTGAGTGTGGATATGTATATGCAATGATGCTCTTGTGATGGCTGAAGGACAACCTTGGGGATCATGCTCAGCTTTTGCCATATTTGTCTCTTTGTTGGTCACTACTATGTTTACTACCTACTAGCTGGCTGAGAATACTGTCATTCTCCTGTCTCTACTCCCTGTCCTGTTCTCGGAGCCATGGATTTATAGTTGTGCACCTGGACTTTGGACATTCAAATTTAGGTCCTGATGCTTGGTAGCAAGGGATTTAACCACGGAGCAATCTCTTAAGCCAAATCTGTACTTCTGACAAGCTCTCAGGACAATTTATTTATGGGTTTGCTTGTTTGTTTTATTGTATTTTTCTTGTGTTATTGGAGATTGAACCCAAGCCTTGCCGATACTAGGCAAGTGCCCTAGCACTGAATTACATCCCCGAGCCTTTAAACATTTTTATTTTAAGACAAGGTCTCATTAAGTTGCCAAAGATGGTTTGGAATTTGTGATCTTCTTGCTTTAGCTTTGGGAATAGTTAGGATCACAGGCATGTGATGTGCAACCATGTAGGGCTAACCACTAAATCACAATGTTTTAGATTAAAACATATGTAGTTATCACACATAAGGCAGTGTGTGAGCCTAGTTTGGATACTAGACTCCCAAATAACAATAAAACAAAACAGCCACAGAGGATGTGGGGAAATGAAACATGAACTGTATTTGATTGCATGTTATTAGGCAATATTGCTGAGTTAACATGAACTTTCTTGGCTCTAGTAACTATGTTGTAGTGGATTAGGATGGATAACAGAATCTGAGTGAGTGAAGTTACACTGCCTACAACTTGCTTACATATGCTTACAGAGGCAGCATGAATGTGATGGATACTTGATCAGTTTAGGTGGAAGGTTATATGGGTTTTATTGTACTAGTTTTGGACATTTTCTAAATTTTCTCAGGTTTAGCTTATATTTTAGTTACTGCATATAGTTCCCCCCTATCTTAAGCAGAGGCCACCCACTCTTTGTTTGGTCAAGAGCATTCTGCCTGAAGCTCAAGGTCATCGGTTTCATTTTCTCAAGTTGGGAGAGTTCCCAGAATGGGTCCTACATGTCCATGTGAGTCTTCCCTTCAAAGCCCTGCATAAGACTTGATACTTAGAAAATTCTCAGCTATCAGGAAAAATTTAATTAATTAAACATTCTTAAATAGAATGAAAGCCAGTTGCAGGGAGTCCCGTAAGAAAAGGGAAGTGTCCCAGGGCATTTTCAATTCACTTCTACTATTTGAGTTTGAAAAGCAAGCTGCCTCCCAAACAGCCCCGGTCCTATACTACATTTATTAACAATCAGTGTACTAAAGTCAGTAAGTCAGCACTCTACTTCACTCTTGACCCAGACCCCTCCCCCCATCTCTCTTTCAAGAGAAAGGTAGACTTATCTGTTTTCTCTTTCTAGAAATGGTGTACAATATGTGAAAAATCAAACAACCAGAGACCTGGCTATACCATGCTGGACTGTATGTGTGTTCTTATGTTGGCCTGGATAAGCCCAGCCTCCTGGTTTGGGGTCCAGAGCCTTTATTAAAATGTAAACACCTATCTGTAAAGTGCCTGGGAAGCCGGTGCCATCACGGATTCCTCTTTCCCAGGGTAGATAAGAGATGCTCTATTGTGTTTTTTCCTTTTTCTCTGCTCTGTGTAAAGCTCATCTTAACTCTGTAGTCTTTTCCAGGTTATGGGAAATGTATCCATACACTTGAATTACAAGATTTTTCTTTCCTTTTTCCATAGTGATGTAAAGACATATGCCTTTGATGATAGACTTTCCTTTCTTCAAGATGGTACCATATCTGTGGAGGCTGATAGACACTTACTCAAGTAAAAAAATACACATTTTATTCCCATTTCTAGGGCTTTATTGACACTCAGTTTGTAAAAATGCACAAAGGGCAAAAGGCCCTAGAGAGAAAGGTAACAGCCTTCTACAAGGCACAGATAAATCACAAAGCATTGGCATAACAGAATAAGAGATGACTCCACAGTGGCACAAAGCAGACTTCTACATATAGACGTGGAATGATCTCCAGGATACACCACTAAATGAATGGAATGGAGTAAATAATGACATGAATGTGCTATGTACTTGTAGATACTCAGATTTATGTAAGAGCACACAGGAATTTGCTCATGGTAGCCATTTCAGCAAAGAGAGGTTGCTGCTAGGAGAAACATTGAATTTCTTTTCCCTTATTTGTTGGTTAGTTTTCCCAAGCAAAGTAAATGTATTTCATAGTAAGTTTTTAATTTTTTTTGCTAAATGTAAATAAGCATACAGATATTGCAGGAGGCTTCAAGGACATCATGAGAATGCTGTAGAAACTGTGCAAGGGCCGGGACTTTGCTAAAGGTTTTGGCTAAAGCTATATGCCCAGTGTCTGCAACAGTGTTCTCTGCAAAGCAGATGCTCAATAAATATTAAGATTGATGCATCCATTTCCCCTTTGTCTCCCCTGTGGAGCTTTCACTTGGAGTTGTTTGGTCCTCTAGCCAAGTCTCAAGGATGACATGGTAAACTGCCCCGTCCGTCTCTCTTCTCATGCTCTGCCATTGTCCTGGTGGAGGTCTCTCCTCTCACCTCCTCCACTGCTTGAAAACCATCCCTCTTTCCCACTCTGACCAGACACTAGTTTCAGTGATGTTTTTCTTCAGTCTGCTGGGGAAGCACTCCTTCACAGGAGGTCTCAAAGTGGTCCTATGTACGTCAGTAAAGTGATTCTATTCCCACAGTTCCCCACCCAGTCCCAGTGGTACACAGAGTGCTATGTGGCCATAGCCCATTCCATGTTTAATACTAGGATCTGAGTCTGAGCTCTTAGGACCCTCTCTTTGGTTTCTTCAACAGATTTCCCTCGAGCTTCTTCAGTTGCCAAGTCCACCTGTTTCCAACAGTCCCCGTCCTTCTTCCTACAGGATGTATCCCTGATAACCGAGGCCAGGGGACTCACATTTCCCTAGTTCTCGCCACAGTTAATGCCTGAGAACGTACTAGAAACAATATGCACAAAGCATCAGATTCTCTATATCATGGCTATTAAAATGGAGAGCCCTACCCTGGGAGCAGGTACCCAACATTTAGGAAATCACAGAGCACCAAAGCATAGACTAAGACTGTGAAGTGCATCTTTCCCTACTTAGGCATGGAGGTAAGTCAAATAGATGCACCAGAGGATGAATCTCAGAGGAAAATGGGAACCAAGGCTCTCCACTCTTCTGCCACCATCAATGCAAGCAAAGGGAGCAGCATGCTCATGGAGCAATCAAAAGCAACCAAGCAGTCCCCACTGTACCACTTCCTCAGAGTGGGTTGACTTCAAGCCCTGTCCCCTGCCTGGGCTTCACTTTCTGCTTGTGCAGAAACAGTGCAGAACAAGGCCTGTCCAGCTTTCCTAGGAGGAATCATTTCAACAACAGATTGGAATGCCATGACAACTCTTCAGGAGTTCACTCTGGTTCTACACAGCACCATCATCACCCCTCCCCATTGTGGTTTCTCCCTCACACCCAGCAGTTCTACCTGTATCCTTCAATTGAAAACTTCTTAAGACCACTCTGATCTATCTTATCTGGCCATTGCTTTAAAACAACACATTTCTGGCATACTGGAAATCACAGTGACAGAAAGTGGAGAATGTGGACAGAAGAAAAGGTACCCAAACCTTTGTCTAAGAGAGTCATTCTTAGCAGATGTAGAGAGTCCATTAAATGATGAGTCCCACCAGCTTTGACAGCCAAATCAAATGTGAATAACTCCCTTACACTCTCATGGAAGAAGGAGCTTCAAAGCTTCCTTTAAATGTCAATACTTGATGACATTTGCAATGCCCTTGCTCCCTCTCAGCAATTAGTAAGTTGCAGAGCCTGTGGTCCAAGACAAAGAAGGAAAACTAGACAAAAAAAATCTCCGGGATTATAATGGGATGATGAGTGAGAACTATGAAATAATAACAGATGCATTCATACTTGGCTAGGGTGTTGCATATGTGGGTATAATTCATACAGTACCCAAATCATCATGACTGGATCTCACCCCAAGCCTGTGAGTCATGATGCTGACGGTACAGTATTTTCTAGATGGTGAGTAACAGTTGGTTTTCTCTCAATGCTAATTTTCTATTTTCTACATTTTGGCTTTCTCCTTCAATTCCTCTGTCTTCCCCTCCTCCTCCATTTCAAACAAAGTAAATTTCCAAAGACAGTGTGGTCCTGCTTGTTGGGTGTGCATCTCAGAGGGTGCAGGTGAAAAAACATTGCTCTTTTCTGTTCCTCGGCTCTGTTTCTTTCAACACCCTGGGCTCTTCAAAGCCAGTGGCTTGTGAGGAAGCTTTCGATTTCTTCTGTAGGTTTTAACACTGAAGTACCCAGAGTTCTGGGGGAGCCTTGGCTTCTCTTGCTTTTTTTTTTTTTTTCTAATACCACAGTCTCTGAAACTTAGCTAAAACACAAACAACTAAAAACAAACAACAAACAAAACCAACAGCAACAACCAACTCTTGGCAATAGAGAGGCTTCAGAAGTCCTGGGAGCCTGGATAGAGGACATAACCCTAGAACTAGGCTGAGCACCTTGCCGAGATGACTTCTCTCTGTACACCTCGAGGCTCTCCCTCAGCTGGGCTTAAATAATCATTTCTCAAGGCCAATAATTCCTCTCTGCTCTTTTGGCTCAACTAGGTCTGGAAATTTTTGAGCTCATGTCCAATTACATTCCTCTAAAAACATTGCAAATTAGCACAGGGAGTTCATTTCTATCTCCTTTTCCCTTCTCTGACATCTGTATATATGCACAATTTTATTTATTTGCATTTTTTACATTTTTGCTCCCAGTTTATCTATTCATTAGCTCCCAGAGCTGTTCCTCTAGAGGAACACAGATTATAAATTAAGAAAAGAGAAACAAAGAAAAGAAGTTTACTCACCTTCTTCTGGACTACCAGGACCAGGATGATCGCCATCGCCACAACGAGGCACACCAGTGCGACCGTGCTGAGGTAGAAGTAGCTGTGGCTTGTGGTTCTCCAGGGCCTCATGCTTCTCCAGGGGCTGGCCACCAAGTCGGGTGGCATCTGCATGGCTGGGTCAGGGGAAGGGGCCCCACGGCTGCCTGCTTGCTGCAGTCCTGGCTCCATGCTTTATATACTCTGCCCCACATCACACCTTATCTCTCCTCATCTGATTCGATTCTGCCCTCAGCTCTGTTCCAAAAAGGATTTTCCCCCTGCATCCTGGATCATGTGACTTGGAAAAAAGCCTTCACCAGTTGCCGGATGAAGAAACTCTTCTCTGGGGGCGTGAAGCGAAGGGTGACTGGAAGGGTGGGGGAGAGGTTCATTTTTCATCGCCCGGGATTAATTTGAGTGCAGAGAAATTGTAGCGAGAGATGATGGCTGATGTCAGAGGGCGGTAGGAAGGAGATAGTTCCGCATGTGTTGCACCAACCACTTCTGTTTCCTTTAGGCTCAGCCACAGAACGCCTTCCCGCGGGGACCCTGCACACTGCCTTCTCCACGCTGGTGGCCCCAAAACGCTTCCAGATTAGTCTCTTTGCTGGGTCCCTGGGAGACTACAACCCTTTGTCAGAAGTATGAGGACTGTTAGGACTGTCTGACAATCATGGCCTGCTGTAAGCTGGAAATACACCCTTTTCTGAGAAAGAAGAGCCCACAGTGTGGACATTCACCTACGTGGTAACAAGCTTGTGGCTGTAGGAAATTTGAGGGTAGTTTCAAAGATATGGTGAAAGACTAGGGATTTGTAAACAATTCGCGTTTGAACTAAAGATCCTAAAACTCTTGCAGTGTGTTTTTGGGGTCTGTTAAATTTGCTGAGGAAGCTGGCTTGCCATAAAGTTCATATAAGGGGAAGAAATCAGCGAGGTGTCAGGACGGGGAGGCTGAGAGGTGTGGAATGTGTGTGCATGTGTGTGAGGTGTCTCTGGGGTGTGCCAGGGTGCAAATAGTGCTCCACGTGTTTGTGATGAGTTCGTATTATGGATGTTGGTAGAATTCACCATTCTGGCTCAGGTACAGTCTTGGGGACTTGGTGTAATGGCTGACTTCACACTCATCACCAGTCTCAGAGGCAGGTAACATTTCTTCTTCGTGGAATGGAAACAGAGGCCCAGCAAGCACGAAAACTTTCTCCATCAAACCTACTGGTGCTAATCTAATGGAAGAACTTGATGTATCCAAACCAGCATGGTCCCGAAAGGAATCCTCTGCTCCAGGCTGAAAACCTCCTATCTCACCTGAGCCCTTTCTCCGTCTAGCTCTGGCCCCCGAATAGAGTCACCGCAGCCCTTGCTTTAACCCCCTCTGCCTTACAGTCACTGAGAAGATCAAACACGATGATGTAAGAGTGCTTCCTGAATGGGAACTGCCTTGGCAGCTGCTGCTGAACAATTCCTGTTAAACAGCCCAAGTTGCCCTCTGGGCCATGTCTGGAATTTAATATAATAAATAGAGTCCCTGGGACATAGAGCTGGATCACATCTGTGGCTATGAATGATCTTCATTTCAGAATACCTCTAGAAGTACTTATCACTGTTTCATAGTTGCCTCCAGATGTGGCCTCCGGAAACCTCGTTTTCTATTTCCCTGGGTGTTGACAGCATCCTTCCCTTTCAGTTGAAGTCTGTCTCTGTGAGCCATGGGGGATACCAGAAGCCCCAAAGAAATGCTGTGCCCAAAGCCAACCTTGGGTTAGTCTCCTTTCTGGTTCTCTGTAGACCTCTCTTTGAGCATTCTTTAAGGCAGCTTAGACTTAGAAGATGGTCCAGAGACCCTTTCTGGTGATTTCATAAGATCAAAATCCACAGAGGTTGGAGAGGCAGTGAGGGATGATCTGGTGAAGAGCTTTCATGGCAGGCAGTATCTGCAATTGACTTTCAAGGAAGTTGAACCCCCTTGGTATCAAGCTGAGCTTGGGCTGGGAAGAAATATGTGTCCATACTCGTTTGCCTGTTGGCTTATATAGGGCGAGGTAAGCTAGTAGTTTTGGGGGTGCACTTGGTTGAGTGGGGGAGAAGGCCTTGTCCTTTGCTGGGTACGGACAAGGAGTGGGTGGCAATCTGCCCAGGGTTGCTGAGAACTGGTTGCTCCCTCGGCCCCTCTCTATGTAGCCCCTTTGATCAAAATGGAAAACTTCTGATTGCTGAATGGAAGCTGTGGGTGTTGAAAAATAAAAAGGCTTTGCTTAAAGTTCAGGTCTTCCTGAAGGCCTGTGAGTCTGAGCAGGCAGTGGAAAAAAATGTTTGTCTTACACTTACAGTTTTGCATACTGTATAATGTCCTGGGAGAGAAGGCTGACAAGGGGGAAAATCACCCTGTGTTCTTAGAACCTTCTGAGCAGTTGAGATTTTCAGATCAGTCACTAACAGTTTGGGGGGCAAATTTCCCTTCTTTTGCTATTGTGCTCCTCTGCTCGTGAAATTTCACTGGCTCCCTATTCCCTACTCCCATTGTTCTCAACTATTCTATGCTCTTCACTTGCAGAATTTTGTCCAGCCAATCTGAGAGTCAGTTCCCTGTGCCAATAGGCTCCTTTCTATTTCTACTTAAGCCACATTAAGATATGCAAATAGAAGGGTTCTACAGAGTTCCTTGTTGAGTGATTTTCAAATCCTTCTTGGAAGTAAAACCGCACGGGAAGTGTAAAATGGAAAATGGAAGAAAAAAAAAAAAGGAGAACTTGCTGGCTAGAGCAGAGGAAGGCCAGGCAGAGAGACTAATCTTAACTGATTGCTTGGTTTATCAGACCTAGAGTCATTACATAAGATAAACAAAATACGGAGCCTTGTGATTTTTTTTAGCTCAAATTATTCATTTAGCAAAGAAGGAAATGGACACATTGAAATGAAGTCACTTGAAATGTTGGGAACTTTCTCAGTGATCAAGCATGGGACCCAAGTTTGCTCTCCAAAAACCACATAGGAAAGCTGGGCACAGTGGTATGTGCTTATAATCCCAGTGTTGGGGAGACAAAGACAGATGGATCCCTGGGATTTGCTGACCAGTAAACTCAGCCTAATCAATGGATTTCAGGCTGCTGAGAAACCCTATCTCAAAAAAACAAGGCCAGTGGTTCTTGAGGAATGACAGAAGTTGACCTGTAGCCTCTATTGTGTACTTGCACACACACATATGCACAATTGCACATACATTTGTACCCCTCACATGAACATGCACACCACACACATCCTTTCCTTGAAATGGAGTGACGATTCACATGGAGATGGATAGAAACAGGCTTCTTTCCCCCTCTACTTTTTCTCCAGCTTACTCTGCCATGCTGGGCCCATTCAGGCTCCTTTGAATGTTTTTCTTGCCTTCTCTGTCTCTGGCTTTCTAGTCTCTCTGAACTCTGGCCATCTGGTTTCACCTCCTCTGGTAAAAACCTTCCTCCATCTCAGCAGCCCACCAACACACTCTCTAGATACTCAAGTCCAGGCCATGTGACCTAATTATTAAATTACCTTGTTTACGAGTGTGTGAACATGTATAAATTTTGCCTACCTTGTGAGATGACAGAGTCTCAAAGACACTATGTACTTTCTTACTCTCTTCATCCGTGCATCCTATCTGCATGATTTAGGGCTGAGCCTATGAATCGTCAACCCTCAATCAATGATCATCTTGACTTCGTGTTTATGGAACAAGAAAGGTTCTAGAGGGTTGGGTATACAAAAGAATTGTGCCATGGCATTTCTTTCTCTTTTGATTTTCAGCTGTTTCCTGTGTCCCCATCTTCTGTACCTATCTGCCTAGCAGCACTTCCATTCTAGCATGTTCTAGTGAAATTGTCCATTGGTGTCCTTCTAGTGTATCAGTAGTTGCTCAGATGTGGTTCCAGTACCTGACACTGTGTTAAAGAAAGCTAATTTCTCATCCTCTGAGGAGTACATCTCATTTTGAAAAAAGAAGAAAGGACACAGCTGTAGCTCTCACACCTTTCATTGCTTCTTAACAGTCTGGCTTTGGGAACTCCATCCCTCAAACTAGGAGCACTTAAGGGGTGTTCTCTAGCTCAGCACCTTCAGTGTCAGCATCACTAGGAAAAGAGTGAAGTTTAAAAGCTTCTGGGGCTACTGAAACAGATGCCTGGGTTGACATAGGGGAAGCCATGTTTGGGAAAGCACCTCAGACTATCCTGGAAGCATTTGGCAAACAGTAGTATAATGAAAAAGAAAGAACCTGTAAGGTAGGCTTTGGGAAGGTACACTGTTATTCTTCTATGTAATTGTAAAAAGTAAAGAGGAATAAAGTTAGTCCACAGAGTCATGTGGTTGGGAGGTGCTGGTTTGAGGACTGTTTTTCCAATGCCTTGGTGAGCAAGCTATCTAACCCCAGTTACAACCGAGGGATCTAAAGCTACTATTGGTCATAGAGATGGCGATATATCTAGAACAAAATAGAGATGATTTTGCACCTATAGTTCTCTTGAATTATCACTATGTAATAAAGACTTTAAAAAATATGTAGTATTTGTGAGAGGGGATGAACTCACTTAGAGTATATTTTAAGCAACAAAGCAAAGAACTAAACTACCTTTTGAGGAGGAGGTATCTGTCCCCTTAAATTGTGAGCCTTGAATCTTTCTGGGGCTAACCTGAAGAACTTGGACATTAGACTTGAGTCATAATGACACTTTTCTAAGAGTCATTGTGAGTTAAAGGATTAGAGGTTAGGGGCAAGGTCAATGAAATATGGCCCATGGCTAAATCTGGCAGTCGCCTATTTTAGTCAATAAAGTTTTATCGAAATAGTCATGAATGTTTGCTTATGCGGGTTCTGTGGCTGTGTTTACTCTAATGGTAGAGATGAGTTACTGCAATAAAGACATCACAGTCCATACAATCTGAAATCTTTATTTTTTTTTTAATTTTTTCCCATTGGTCCATGTGTCTTTTTTTTTTTTTTTTTTTTTTTTTGGTTTTTCGAGACAGGGTTTCTCTGTGTAGCTTTGCGCCTTTCCTGGAACTCACTTGGTAGCCCAGGCTGGCCTCGAACTCACAGAGATCCGCCTGCCTCTGCCTCCCGAGTGCTGGGATTAAAGGCGTGCGCCACCAACGCCCGGCCCATGTGTCTTTTTTAATGTCAATACCAAGCTGTTCTTTTTTTTAAAATTTATTTTACAATACTATTCAGTTCTACATAATAGCCACAGGTTCCCTTGTTCTCTCCCTTCCTGCCCCCCTCCCCTTTCCCCCAGCACACCCCCTATTCCCACTTCCTCCAGATCAAGGTCTCCCCCAAGGACTGGGATCGACCTGATAGACTCAGTCCAGGCAGGTCCAGTCTC